GTCCCCACCCCTACCTTCCCCGCACCTTTTGCACCTTTTGCTGAGAACTGAGTTAGATCAGGACCCCCGGCACGGGGCCTTCTGTGCCTTCCTTCCCTCAGCACCACAGCTCTCCCCTGTGCTTTGTGTGATTTTAAATGAAGCTATAATTTTTTAATTTTTATTTTTTAACAGTGGATCGCAGCTCCAAGAGGAGGCAGGTGAAGCCGTTGGCAGCTTCTCTGCTTGAAGCTCTCGATTATGATAGTTCAGATGACAGTGATTTTAAAGTTGGAGATGCCTCAGGTAAATGTTTCTCTCTTCCCGTTCCCAGCTTTCCAGAGTTGGGTTTATTTTCAGACTTTTTTTTAAAGAATTGGTTTTGATGAAAATGCCAATTTAAAGTTAAAGCACATAAACGTCATTTATTTTGTCCATTTGATTTCCCACATCTCTCTAAGATCCTCTCGCTAGGTCTTATCATTGCATCTGTTTTTGTTGGTACTTAGATAAGGAGCCTGCAAGAGGACCTATTCCAAAGATGCAAAAACATTTGCTCTATTCTTTACTTGAGATTACATTCATGCTTATTTTATGGATAGAGGAAAAAAAATTGAGAGAGATCACGAGGTGGAGTAATATCCTGAGAGTGATGTGAGCCATGAACTGTTGATGAGAGAGTAGGGTTCCTTTCTTTTCCAATCACGTGGCCCCCTCTGAGCGGTGTTTTACTAAAACTGACCAGAGAAAAAAGTTGTGCTTTGTAGTAGCTGCTGGACCTTGTGGATTGGGCCATTCAAGGCTCTCTGAGATGTAAAGCATGTGTGCTTGCTCTACATTTTGTGATTTTAAAAACAATGAGCTTTTTTTAAAGGTTATGTATTCACATTGCGCAAAACTGGAAAACAGAAGAGCATGGTTTACTTTGTATCTTCTGTTCATGGTAACTCATGTAGAGATACATATAAAATTTTAATTTCAGGAATCTGAGAAGTGGATACAAATTTTGATTAAATATTTTATGTGAATACTACCAAGACACATGAACAATAAACATTACTTATAATTCTGCCCCTTTTGAATGGAAATTTAAATAAAGTGAGAAATGTAAGCCGTTCCAATTTCATCCCTTTAGAAGTTTTTTAAAATTAATTGATTTTATTAATTGATTGATTGGAGAGAAACATCGATTTGTTGTTCTCTTTTTTATGCATTCATTGGTTGCTTCTTGTATGTGCTCTGACAGGAGATCTGACCACAACTTTGGTGTATTGGGATGATGCTTTAACCAATTGAGCTACCCTGCCAGGGCTCATCCCTTTAACAATTTTTAAGTATTCTTCCATAAAATTTTATATGCTTAGTCCCATCTCCTTTCTGTTTTTTTCCTGCTAGGGATGATAGGAAAGGATGAAGTTAGGTTGTATTATTATTATTACTTTTAATAGCATCAACAATCAGAATTCACTTGTGATTTACTGAGAACTTTTTGTTTCTATAATCTCATTTAATTTTTAAAGTAATTTAGTAAAGGAGATATTTTATAGATAAGGAAACTGAATTTAAAGAACTTGCTTGAGGCCCTTGAGGCATCACTTTATGAACCTGGAGGTCAGGGCTTGCTCCTCAGTGGGGACCCGTGTAGGAGGCAACTGATCAGTGACTCATCACTGATGTTTCTATCTCTATCTCCCTCTCCCTTCCTATCTGAATTCAATAAAAACGTATTAAAAAAAATTAAGATAGGTCTTGCTTGAGGTCACTCAGGCCATAATGGAATCTAATCCATATCTTTTGATTCCAAAATTTATAATCTTTTCTATGTTTAGATCCTAAAAAGAGAGAGGAAATAATCTTAAACCAAAACTACTTGGATGTTATGGTGACTAATTGAGGTCACTCCTAGTAACCAAAAGTTGTTAGGTTTATCTTGATTGTTTTTTTAACCTTTGCTTCTCAGCTTTTTTATCTTCCATTCAGTTGATCCACTGATGCTTGGTACTTCCAAAGAACGGGTAGGGCAAGGGGGTAAAATCCAAATCTACTTTAGTTCTCTTGGTGAACCCTTGGCAGATAGAATATTCTTGATTAGAATGTTTTGGTTTGTTACGGTCCAGATTGTAAAGTGTGACAAAAATAGCTGGTTCTCAAAAATTACGACTTATTTGAATACCATTATGAGAAAAACTCCAAAGCTTAATTTACTTAAGTATTCCATAAATATTTTTTGGCAATAAATTCTGATTTTTATTTTTTAAAAATTGTATTGATTTTAAAGAGAGAGGAAGGGAAGAGAGAGGGGGAGAGAAACATTGAAGTGAGAGCACAACATCCACTGGCTGCCACCTGCATTGGCCCCACTGGGGATTGAGCCAGAAACCTGGGCATGTGCCCTGATCTAGAATTGAACCAGTGACCTCTTGGTGCATGGGATGATGGTCAACCCACTGAGCCACACTGGCCAGGGCAGTAAATTCTGATTTTGTAAATAATTTTTTTCTTTTTGCTTATTAAGATGGAGTAATTCACAGGTATCACTTCTCTTTTACAAAGGTTAAAACAGTTTAATCGTACAAACTACTTTCTCAAAATAATTTATGGTATCAAGCTAAGTAGAAATTCCTGACCTTGTTAAATCTTAATCAGAGTTGATGGGAATTATCTGTTATTTGCGGTAAGTGTTAGGATGAGTTTTGTTAGCTGATAATTAAAAAAAAAATCTAAAAGCACTAAAAATCTATATACTTTCTGTTCCCTCTTGTCATAATACCTAGCTGGCTGTACTTGTAATTTACTTTCCAGACCTCTGTGGAGATTAAATTTGTGACCCTAGATCAAAATTTATTTGTGTAGTCCTTGATGTAATTGTAAATGAGAGTTTAGTAGAAAATTATTTTCTTTAAAATAGTTCACAGTCAATAGACATTAAGTGGTATCTTCTGCTCTTGGATTAGGTACATTGGTGTCTCCCATAGCTGAGATCTTGGCTTACTCTAGATTACCAGTGACTCCTGTTTGAGTCTTTTCTCTGCCTGAGGTAGTTGGACTCTTCCAGGAAATAAAACATTAGTTAGACTTATCCCTGGTTTTCAAACATGCTGATGTTGTGGAATCTCAACCCTATCTGTGAATAGGAGGTTAAATTTAAAGTGGAGACGTAGAAACCATTTGTGGATCATAGCTTCTTTCAAAAAGTTTCCAGAAATGACTCCTGCTTCCTTAGAACTTAATGTAAAAATGCTTAGATTGATTGACCTCAATTTTCACCTGGATTCTGTGCATCATTTTCTTCTGATCATTTTGAAATCTGAAATTCTGACTATAAAACTTCTTATTTCTGTTTGGCTATAAGAATAAATATAGCCCTGGCTGGTGTGGCTCAGTTGGTTGGGCATCTTCCCGTGCACTAAAAGGTTGCCCAGGTTGCAGGCTTGATCCCCGGTCGTGGGGTACAGGAGGCAGCCAGTCAGTGTATCATTCTCACATTGATGTTTCTCTCTCTCCCTCTCCCATTCTCTCTAAAAATCAAGAAAAAAATCTTGAAAAAATAGAATATATACAGTTCCATAGCCAAAGGTTATTATATTTAAGACCCTTGCAGATAAACATAATTTTATTCATGTGTTTCTCAGATAATAGGTCTAAAAGGATAAATATTGCTCAATAATTATCAACAGTTAATAATAATTATTTTACCATGAAAAAATTATGGACTGAAAATAGATTTTCTTTTCTTTTATCTCTAATGTGAAAGTAGAGCTAAATTTTTCACTTTTCATTGAGGAGAGTCAATAAATAAATTTTACAATTAATAAGTCCTAAAACAGGATTTAAGTATATTAGAATTATGGTGCTAACCACCAGAAAAAGCATATGTAGAAATGTTAGGTGAAACTATATAAAATTACCACTTTTATAGGTATAAAACTGTCAAATATTGGCAATTTCATGGTTTGGCCTAGTTCAAGTGGTTATATTTGAGACTTGGACCTAGGATTAGGGCTAGGATAGATTCATTTAGTAATCTGCTACATAAATGTAATCTTTTTGAAGAAGAGTACATGCATTTTATTAAATGACAAAATAACAATGCTGTGTCCCCCAACTCTCTGGCCAAAGTGAGATGGTTAACTTTATATTTTTCATTTATTTATTTATTTATATTTATATTTTTTATTTTTTTAAAAAATATATCTTTATTGATTTCAGAGGGAGGAAAGGAGAGGGAGAGAGATAGAAGCATCAATGATGAGAGAGTCACTGATCGAGCCCACAACCCGGGCATGTGCCGTGACCGGGAATCGAACCCCGATCNGTTGCCCAGGTTGCAGGCTTGATCCCCGGTCGTGGGGTACAGGAGGCAGCCAGTCAGTGTATCATTCTCACATTGATGTTTCTCTCTCTCCCTCTCCCATTCTCTCTAAAAATCAAGAAAAAAATCTTGAAAAAATAGAATATATACAGTTCCATAGCCAAAGGTTATTATATTTAAGACCCTTGCAGATAAACATAATTTTATTCATGTGTTTCTCAGATAATAGGTCTAAAAGGATAAATATTGCTCAATAATTATCAACAGTTAATAATAATTATTTTACCATGAAAAAATTATGGACTGAAAATAGATTTTCTTTTCTTTTATCTCTAATGTGAAAGTAGAGCTAAATTTTTCACTTTTCATTGAGGAGAGTCAATAAATAAATTTTACAATTAATAAGTCCTAAAACAGGATTTAAGTATATTAGAATTATGGTGCTAACCACCAGAAAAAGCATATGTAGAAATGTTAGGTGAAACTATATAAAATTACCACTTTTATAGGTATAAAACTGTCAAATATTGGCAATTTCATGGTTTGGCCTAGTTCAAGTGGTTATATTTGAGACTTGGACCTAGGATTAGGGCTAGGATAGATTCATTTAGTAATCTGCTACATAAATGTAATCTTTTTGAAGAAGAGTACATGCATTTTATTAAATGACAAAATAACAATGCTGTGTCCCCCAACTCTCTGGCCAAAGTGAGATGGTTAACTTTATATTTTTCATTTATTTATTTATTTATATTTATATTTTTTATTTTTTTAAAAAATATATCTTTATTGATTTCAGAGGGAGGAAAGGAGAGGGAGAGAGATAGAAGCATCAATGATGAGAGAGTCACTGATCGAGCCCACAACCCGGGCATGTGCCGTGACCGGGAATCGAACCCCGATCGCCTGGATCCTAGGTTGACGCTCAGCCGCTGAGCCACGCCCGGCCGGGCTATTTATTTATTTAGTTAGTTATCTTTTAAAATAGGTTTGATTTTTTTAAAAATTTATCATTATTGTTGAAAGTATTACAGATGACCCCCTTTTTCACCCCATTGACCCTTTCCTCCTCCCTACTCCAGCCCCCTCCTCAGGCCTGCACCACACCTTTGTCTGTGTCCATGGGTGATGCATATAAATTCTTTGGTTGATCTCTTGCTGCCCCCACCCCTTCCCTCTGGGATTCCTCAGTGTGTTTGATGCTTCCATGTCTCCGGATTTATTTTGTTTGTCGGTTTATTTTCATTAGATTCCAGATATAAGTGACAGACAATATGATCTCATTTATATGTGGAATCTAATGAAAAAAATAAACTGGTTAACTTCATATCTTAAGTCATAGTTTAGTGAGGTGAAATTGTCAGAAAGTAATTTAATTGGAAGAGTCGGGCTGGGACTTTGCTTTGGTAATATTTTGTGCTTAATCTGACTTTAGCTTAAGTGGATCAAAGTATGTTCACTGACCATTGTAGCTTTGTTTAAAAGCACTTTTCTGAATGTTATGGCAAATTCACTAAGAAACAGTGCTAATAATAGAGTAACTAGATAATATAATGGATAGATGATACAGCACATGATTGATCACTTATACAGGTTAAGTCTTTCAAAGGATATGGGACTACTTTAGACTGGATTTATCAAGGAAAATTCAATGAGGAGATAGAGTTAAATTAACAGCCCAAATCTAGGTGGAGGAAGTGTTGTGTTAAAAGTGTAGAGGCTGGAAAATATTGTTTATTAATCTTGGATCACAACTGAATAAAAGAGGAGACGAGCCAGGGAAAGTAGGATGAGGTCACATTGAGGCCTTATATGCCAGACCAGGGTTTCTCAACCTCAGCACTGTGGACATTTTGTGCCGCACAATTCTTTGTTGTGGAGGCCTGTCCTGAGTGTTGTAGGATATTAAGCAGCATCCCTGTCTTCTGCTTACTAAGTGCCAGGAGCATCTTCTCTACCTAGCGCCCCCCACCCCTGGTTCTTTCATGGCACCCATTCTCTAGACACTGTCAACTGTCCTCTGTTGGACAAAATTGTCACACCTGGAAATAGAGGGTGAGCTGAGTTGACTGGCTTTTTAAAAAGAGCTGTACAGGATTAGTCAAACTGGTCACAAGATGGTAACTGAATAACCAGCAGACTGGTGATCTGTCTGTTGTCTGTCTGGTTTGTATGTTTATAAAACTAATCGCTCTTGAACTTTATCAATGAATGGAATAATTAAATAATTAGATCTGATGAACAAAGATGGTTTTTTATATTGCAAAGCTAACATAAAAACTCTGATTTAAGTCATACTGTTTTTTGTTTTTGATTTTATTGTTTGATATTAATCATGGGGAAAACTTAAGCATTGAATATTGTGAAGGGATTCTTGAAGGTTGTTTTTTTAAATTCTGTAACGGGAAGAAAATCTGTAACTCTAAGTTGAAGTAGCTATTGATTAGAGAGATTTTGATAGTGTGCTTGAGAAAGGTTACCTTCTGTTTAACTGAATAGGAAGTAGGGATTTCAATTTTAAATATTTTTTTCTAGTGTAAAAATTATTTATTATAGACTTAGAATTAACTGGCCCGTATACCTAAGATTAGCTTTATTTGAAGTATTTGGATTATTTCTCTGTTCTTTTTTCTTTAAAGGGTGTAAGTGATAGATTTGGAATATGGCAGAGAGTCTTCGTTTGAATTTATAGTAAGAGGAAATTTTTCTTTGCAGCCTACAAAAATATAGACAGCCAAGGACCCTGATTTTCTCATTGTTATTATTATTGCCAAGCTATGCTGGTAACTAAGTATTTTTATCTCCATCCCTCAAGTACATATGTACCAAAAAGAAGTGATGACTAATGAGATGAAGTTATTTTTCAGACATCAGAGAAAATAGAATGTGACATATTCCTGATGCCTGCAGTTGGAGTCGGCTCATATGTCATATTTGGAGTGAAGGGTTGGGTAAGCAACTAGGACTTGGATTTGTGGAAAAACTCACTTTCTTGTAATGCTTTGTTAACAGGTGTAAACCACTTAAGTTATTAAAAACTGTGCTCTGTTCAGGCCTGGTTCTAAAGTAAGAACAATCAAAGTATCACTTTCCCTCTACTTTGAAAAATGATTAATTGATTGGTATTGGCAACAACAACCAAACCAAAATTATAATAATTCTTGATGTTTTGTAAAATTTACTAATAGCAAAGTTGGATTCCTCTCAGTTTTGATCAGGTAACCACGTTCGTGCCCTGGTTAATCTTTTGTATCTGTTGTTACCTTTTTATTGGTAAAATAACTAGCAGTACCTTTTAGGTTCTTCTAAAAAGGCTTCTAGATTAATCCAGATGAAAAGTACCTTTTCTCCATCTCCCAGTTCTTAATTATTGTCTTGCTTATAAGATGTTCTAGTTTTCTTTAGTCAGTGTGCACAGAGATTCTTTTTTGCCTTAGAAGTGTTTAGTCAACTCTACTTATTATTTAATAGATCATTGTCTAAAATATCTAGAAATTACTATATTTTCCAGAGGTAGATTGTTTTTGTAGGTTGGGTTTGTTAGTAGTATTAAAAAAAAAAAGTCATAATTTTCTTAATGATTTATAGAGCTATTGGACTGAAGTCACCTATTTGTGAGTGATATTGAGTCCCCATACTTTTTTGAAATCCAAGGAGCTCACAAATCCAGAGGTGTTTCCTAAGTTTGGCATAAACCTATTTGATGGTAAAACCTGATTGGTACTGATAGTTTATTTGGAGTGTATGTATCTTACTCTAAATATTCATACATTTTATTGCAGAAATAATGTATTCGGTTATAGGACAGGACCATAGACTTCACTGGGGGTACTAGTGTGATATATTGTCCACATACCATTATACCCTTCTAAAATTAAAAAAAAAAAAATCTAACTTCTAAAACATCTGGCTCCAAAAAATTCAGATGAGGGATTGTTGACCTACATGATTTTGTTTCCTATGCAAGATTTCTTAGGATGAGAGTGTTTTTTCACAACAGTCCTGAATAACCTGTGGGTATCTGCATGATAAACTAGAGATTGACAATGATTTTATAAGGTCAGTCGACATCTGTTAAATGTTAGCCTTTTTTTTTTCTTTTTTCTTTTTAATGTGATTTATCTGGCAGGATTTTTATTTTACCAGTCATTTGTAAAGGATTTTTGAGCTATTTTAAATATCAGGTATTAATTATATACAACTTTCTTTACATCTAATGCGCAATAAATTATAGAGGCTAAGGCTGGTTGAGTTAACAGAAATTAAAATGGTGTAGAAACATAAATTTTCCATCATTTGTTATTACCCTTTTCTTGGTTATAGGTGCAAAGTATTCATCATCTTACAGATTTTATTACTGGTGTTGGCGATGGCCTGAGTGTGGCTAGTTTGTTTCCCACTTCCTCCTGTTCCCCCTTCCTTTTTCCTCCCCCCACCCCCATATTCCTCTCCCCAGATATTTTAGGTTTTTATTTGATCAGGCATAAAGATGATTAGGAGGTTACTAAACAGTGTTAAGAGCTGGGCTGTGCCAGGCAGGAACAGGAGAAACTTTCTAGAAGGCTTACAGTCCTATGTGAACTCTTTAATGTCCTTAGCCTATCTTTTTAGTGACTGTTGTGGCTGCTTATTTCCAGACGGCTTACTTTTCTAAAAATTCATTAATTTCTTTCATTTTAGGGGATATAGCAGTCACTGCCTAGACTTTTTGAAGGTTTAGGTAACTCTTATTGATATCCTAGTAAGTAACCTAATAAGCAGGAAAACTGGTAACTTCTGTTGTAGCCTCCCTTTGCTGAGCCATTGCTCTTGTCCCCTCCCACCTGTGTGCTTGGTGCTAACACTGATTGGTGTGTTAGGGGTGTAGTACACGGTGACTGGCGTAAATATCTGCGCTTAATTTTGCTGGGTAAAGCATGAAGCGATGGAACGAGGTTTTTTGGGCCAGGATTTTCTTGTTCTGGATGTGACGCAATGCTTGGAAGTCCATATAGTTTATGAAAGGAAGCTGTAATAACGGAAGAGGAATTTGGTGTGTATTCTATTATCATTAAGTTAAAATCAAGTACCCACTTTATAAGGAATGACATTTAGTTTTAGAAAAAAGTTGCCTCTAGGGTACCAAATAACACATGTGTTGTACGACAAAACAGTGCTCTTTTTAAAGCATATTTTAATTTAGTTACGTATTTTCATCTTCATTAGTGCTCTGTTGAGCTAAAACCATCAACCAGCTTCATTGACTTACCATTTAACCAGGTTAGTAATGTCTGCCATCACTTGCCTTAAATTTGTTTATATCGTTTGACAAGTTGTTCACAGGTTTTGGTGGTTTCATTTGTGTCCGCGTTGTGTGTGTGTGTGTGTATGTATCTACATATGTGTGGTTTTTTTTCTCATATTTTCAACAGATTCTGAAGGGAGTGGTAATGGAAGTGAAGACCCCTCAAAGGACAGTGGAGAAGGCTCCTGTAGTGATTCTGAAGAGAATATTTTAGAGGAAGAACTGAGTGAAGATGTTAAAGTCAAAGAAGAGCCAGTTAAAAACCCTGCAGAGGAAGACGCACTGTCGTCAGAGAAACAGCTAACGAAAGCGGAGAGGAAGGAAGAAGAGAGCGGAGAAAGGCCGCGCAAGAAGAAGGAGCGGGAGCGGGAGAGAGAGAAGGAGGGAGACAAGGGCGAGGGGGAGAAGGAAGCGGCCGCCGCGCCCGACCCCCT